AGACCATGCCATTGCACTCCAGCCTGGGCAACAAGAGCAAAACTCCATCTCAATATAATAATAATAATAAATAATAAAATACTGCCATACTGATTGGTAGATGACCATTGCCCAAGCCCCTTGCGTGTCCTTGCCACCTTGGTTGTCCGAACTCCTTTCCTGGCACCCTCAGACCTCCTCATGATTCAGCAACTAAGGGATTAATGCCTGACATGGGGATGGGAGTGAGATTCCCCCAGGACCCTGTTCTAACCCTGGTTGATTATTCAATAGTTATGTCCTACTGGTTGTTAAATATTTTGAGTATCACTACCATGGGTGCTCAAAAAGAAATGCCTTTATTGTTATTTTTTTTTTTTTTTGAGACGGAGTTTCACTCATGTTACCCAGGTTGGAGTGCAATGGTGTGATCATAGCTCACTATAGGCTCAAACTCCTGGCCTCAAGTGATCCTACCACCCTGCCTGCCGAGCAGCTGGGACTACAGGCATACTCCACCATACTAGACTGTTTTTACATTTTTTTGTAGATACAGAGCCTCAATATGTTGCCCAGGCTGGTCTCAAACTCCTAGGCTCAAGCAACTCTCCCACCTCAGCCTCCCAATGTGTTGGGATTGCAATCATGTGCCACCACACCTTTTTTTTTTTTTTCCTTAAAAGCAATAGAATATACACCAAGACATTGTTTATCATGTGGAAGAAGAAAAGGAAACAACCACCCATTCCTTAAAGACCATTTCAAATCTATGTAAAACACCACTGAGTGATTGTATCACCCACATAATTTACCTCTACATTCTGGTTTTTGAGTGCTAATGTCTGTCTAATATTATCTATAATATGGTAATGTTGATTACAACAGTTTGGCAGTTTCATCTGTGGATCTCTTTTCTTTTTGTTTTTGTTATTTTTGTTTATTAATTAATTTATTTATTTATCGAGACAGAGTCTTGCTCTATCACCTAGGCTGGAGTGCAATGGTGTGATCTTGACTGACTGCAACCTCTACCTATTGGGTTCAATCGATTCTCCTGCCTCAGCCTCCTGAGTAGCTAGGATTATAGGCATGTGCCACCATGCCTGGCTAATTTTTGTGTTTTTAGTAGAGGCGGTTTTGCCATGTTGGCCAGGCTGGTCTTGAACTCCTGGCCTCAAGTGGTCCACTCGCCTCAACCTACCAAAATGCTGGGATTACAGGTGTGAGCCACCGCACCATCTCTTCACTCTTTGTTAAGCTGGCCCCAACCACCATGATGAGCTGATTACAACCACCAAGTTTACTAGTCAGGTAACAAATATTCATCAAGTGAATATTTGCACAAGCCACTTTGCAAGGCTTAGTGGAGGTGCTGGAGGACAAAGAGAACTCCATAGTGGAGTCCTGGCCTTCAAGAAGAGAGAAGGCAGTTGCTAAAAGTGGGCCTCCCTTAGCCTCTTACTTCCCGCCCCACGGACTCCAGCTAAATCTCCCAAGTTCAAGGTTGGCCCCTGTTCTACAGCAAGCAGATAAGAGGTCCTAAGCAGAAGCAGAGCTTCTTGTTTGCTACTGTTGCAGCCTCCTTTCAGACTCTCACCTGAATTCTTGACCCCTGTAGCATCGTCTTCCCTCCTGGGCACTCAATCCCATCTGCTTCTCTGACCTCCTGTCCTTGGCTTGATCCTGACAGGCCCCCAAACACAGTGGAATATGGACAGTTATAAATGGCAGCACTGTCACCTGCTCTTTAGGCCTTTGCTGTTTAGCCAGCCTCCTGGCCTTTCTAGCCCTGACCTCTATTTCAGAAGACCCTCTAGTTCCAGAGGGGGTCTGGCCCAGCCAACCCCTGTACACTCTGCCTTTCTTCCAAGGCCAGGTCTCTTGCCTTTGCTCCGCTGCTCCCTTAGCTCTCTTTCTGCTGACTCCTGTACAGACTGCAAGCTCCCTGACGGCAAGGTCCAGCCAGCATCTAGCACAGGACTCATAGTGTGAGCCTCTAAGGATTTGTGCTGATAAAGCAGCAGTTACGAATCGGCGAGTAGTCACTTCATTTCTTTGAATTTTAGTATCCTCATATGTAAAGTAGATTCGATCCTAAGGTCCTCTCTCGCTCTGAAGGTCATTAGGAAAATGAGTGGGTTTCTCAAGCATCAGTCATGTTGGACAAAAAGGTTGATTTCATTTTTTCAGCTGGTTCTTAAGTAAATTTATTCCAGTGTAATATTGAAAACTAATCATAGACTTAGAAATTCGAGTTAAATCTGTTATCATTTTAATACTTCTGTTGAGCTATCGATTCTTATAACATTTTTGGCATTTGTTTTTATTATTAATGAAATACCCACTGACATGGCCAGGTACAGTGGCTCATGCCTGTAATCCCAGCACTTTGGGAGGCCAAGGCAGGTGGATCACTGAAGCCAGGAGTTTGAGAATAGCCTGGCCAACATGGCGAAACCCAGTCTCTACTAAAAATACAAAAATTATCCAGATGTAGTGCTGGGCACCTGTAGTCCCAGCTATTCAAGAGGCTGAGGCACCAGAATCACTTGAACCCAGGAGGCAGAGGTTGTAGTGAACCGAGATTGCACCATTGCACTCCAGCCTGGACAACAGAGTCAGACTCTGTCTCAAAAAAAGGAAAGAAACTAAAGGAAAAGAAAAAAAGAAAAGAAAAGAAAAAGAAATATCCACTGACATCATTTAAAAGTCAAATAATGTTAAAAATTCATTAAGGAAAAGTCAGTATTCTGCCTCACTCCTAACCTGTCAGTTCTACTTCTCAGTGTGCTCCCTAGAGGCAATTATTTTCAATTCTGTTAGCTATTTCTTTGGAATTTTACCTCTTTCCAAATAATTTGTCCATGCTCCATATGTTAATTTTTCTTTCTGGTACTACAGGTGAGGCTTTGGCTCTTATACATCCCCATTCCACTCATTCTTCCCATGTAGTCACAGTTCACTTTTTGGCTAAATCAATATTAAGCATTTGCATTAGATACATATGAGTGTGTACCATACTAGGATTATGCTTACTTTTTCATTCAATGTTTTTTAACCTGGAGTAATTGGTTTCTATGTTTCTATTGCCAGTCCCCTACCCTCACTCCCAAATGCTCTGAATTCTATTGCTCTGTAACAAGTTACCACAAATTTAGTGGCTTCAAACAACACCAATTTATTATCTTACAATTCTGAAAGGGAAAGTCCAAAATGAGTCTCAGGAGCTAAAGTCAAGAGCCGCATTCCTTCCGAAGGCTCTGGGGGAGAATGCGTTTCCTTGTCTTTTCCAGCTTCTAGAGGCTGCCTGAATTCCTTGGCTCCTGGCCCTTTTCCTCAGTCACTCCTACCTCTTCCTCCATCATCACATCTTCCCTGACTGATAATTCAGGTTAATCTCTCCATCTTAAGATCTTTCATTTCATCACAGCTGCTTTTGCCATGTAAGGTAGCATAGTCACAGTTTCCAGGGATTAGGACATGTGGCGTAGGGAAAGGGACAGTATTCACCCTAGCATGTGCTCCTGCAGATCTGCCAGCTACCTGTCAATATCATCAGTTAATCTAACAGTTCTGAGTCGTGCATCCTCTGGGAACTTGATGTGTGAACTGGCTCCATCTTGTTGATACTCTGTCTTCGCAGGTACATAGGCCACAGTGCTATGGTGAGAGCCCTAGTTACGATGACAATGTGTACGGACATCCCTTGTGCATTACTGTCTCCTCTCCCATTTTCTTGCTTTTCCGGGATTAAATCTCTTTTAATGCTATACTCTAGTTTTAGTCTGGAAAAGAAAGAAGATAAGTCAATGTGGTCAAGCCACTATGTATATCTGATAGTTGTCTTTCATCAAGATTCTCATAATGGGGGTTTTGTTTTTACGGAGCCAGGGAAGAAGAGTTTCCACTCTGTAATTCAAGGAGGTGGCCAGGAGGAGATTCACTTGCACTGTAGTTCAAGCAACAGAACTAATTTTCTTTTCTTTTTTTTTTTTTGAGACAGTCTCACTCTGTCACCCAGGCTGGAGTGCGGTGGCACAATCTCAGCTCACTGCAACCTCTGCCTCCTGGGTTCAGGTGATTCTCCAGCCTCACCAGCTAATTTTTGTATTTTTAGTAGAGACAGTGTTTCACCATGTTGGCCAGGCTGGTCTCAAACTCCTGACCTCGTGATCCACCCACCTCGGCCTCCCAAAGTGCTGGGATTATATGGGATGATAGGCATGAGCCACTGCACCCAGTCCAGAACTAATTTTCCAGGAAGTTCTGTGTAGAATTTGCTATAGAAATTTCTCTTCCCTTCAGTGAGGACTGGTGTGGCCTGCTGGAAATGAAGAAACTTGGGAGTCAAGACGGTTTGTGTTTGTTTCCAGCTTTGCAACTTGCTGCCTCTGTGACTTCTCTGAGTCTCAGTAGCCTTATCTATAGTATCAGCATAACAATAATTGAGCACTTTTACCTGGATCACAGCAAGGACTCAGTTATGGCAATTTTTATTTTATTTTATTTTATTATTTTATTTTATTTTTTTAGAGGAAGTGTTACTCTCCACCCAGGCTGGAGTGCAATGGCACAATCTCGGCTCACTGCAACCTCCACCTCCCACGTTCAAGCAATCCTCCCACTTCAGCCTCCTGAATAGCTGGGACTACCGGTGTGTGTCACCACACTCAGCTAATTTTTGTATTTTTAATAGAGACAGAGTTTCACCATGTGGGCCAGGCTGATCTCAAACTCCTGACCTCAAGTAATCCACCCCCTCTCGGCCTCCCAAAGTGCTGGGATTATAGGCATGAGGCACAGCGCTCAGCCAGTTATGGCAAATTTTAAACTGCTTTCAAGTTAAGTATACCGAGTAGAAAGGAATGAGCTGTTAACCTGTAGTCAAGACCCTGCACCAGATCAACAGCTTCTGGAATCTACCATTGTTCTTTGAGTCTTCCCTGGGTTCTTCCCAATTCGTCTGTATTTTTGCTTCAATTCTAAGTGCTTAACCTTCTGCTGTTGTTTTTCCATTTCAGAAAGAGCCTCCTGATCTAGTCACCAAGACTGCCCATGACCTTCAGCTATGTACCCCAACCCTCTCATTTATTGCACCTGCTGGGACCCCTGGAACGTGGGACCACGGAAGCTAATCAAGACCACTCAGCTACCACGAAAGAACCCCACAGGGAGGTCTAAGTAAGAATTATCTGGGGTGGGGTAGGCACAGAGACCTTGGGATCCATTTGTAGCCTCCTTTCTTTCACAAGATTTCTAAAACAGCAAGGGTGGCAGCAGAATTCCAGGTGGGGCAGAGAACCTCGCTTTCCCCAGCTTCTCTGCCAACTGGTTGGCTGCACCCTCATCTTGCCAGCCCTGCCTGGGGTTTGTGCCATTTCAAATGAGGAAGTCTCAGCATTGGTGCAATGGCAAAGTACAGCTTCCAACCAAAGGGCCTTGATGGCAACTGCCCCCTCCATGTGGGATAAAGAGCTTTGGCAACTGGGGGACAGGCTCTTCCTGGGACAGTGAACATGTGCCAGGGCCTTGGGCCTGAGTTTTAAAGGTCTCAGATTTTAAAGATTCCAGCTGTCAGATCATATATTTCAATTTTGGGTCACTATAGGGATGTACTTAATTTGAAAGCATTAAAAAGGGTTTCCAAATTTCCAATTTTCTTGTTTCAGTTATTTGTTTTCCACTTTCAGGCAAACTCCTCTCCTACCAGCTCCAAAAAACCACAATTACCTCCAACCAACAAAACCTGTTTTTTCCCCAAAGTAAGTTTTGTTTTTTGTTTTGTTTTGTTTTGTTTTTGAGATGGAGTCTCACTCTGTTGCCCAGGCTGGAATGCAGTGGTAGGACCTCAGCTCCCAGGTTCAAGAAATTCTTGTTCCTCAACCTCCCAAGCAATGGGGACTACAGGTGCACACCACCATGCCCAGCTATTTGTTTGTATTAGAGACGGGGTTTCACCATGTTGCCCAGGGTGGTCTTGAACTCCTGAACTCAGGCAGTTCACCCATCTCAGCCTCCCAAAGCACTGGGATTATAGATGTAAGCCACCACGCCCTGCAGTTGTTTGTTTGAGATGGAGTCTTGCCCTGCCACCCACACTGGAGCATGGTGACACCATCTTGGCTCACTGCAACCTCCACCTCCTTGGTTCAAACAATTCCCCTGCCTCAGCCTCCTGAGTAGCTGGAATTACAGGCACCTGTCACCATGCCCATCTAATTTTTGTATTTGTAGTAGAGAAGGGGTTTCACTATGCTGGCCGGATGGTCTCCAACTCTTGACCTTAAGTGATCAGCCCACCTTGCCCTCTAAAAGTGCTGGGATTACAGGTGGAGGCCACTGCACCTGGCCTTAAGTATTTTTATGTCCATGAGGCAGAAATGGTTTAAGGCATGTGAATAAAATAATCTTCCTCCCGCCTGGCCTGACTTGAACTAATTGATGCCAGGAATGTTATAGAATTGCCAGAATCCACCTTGATTTCTCACAAACCTCAGATCCTACATGTAGATTTTGGGGTCCTCTGCATCCACAGCATCATTTGATTCAAAATCACTGTATCAACTGCTCTCCACAGGGGTGCCCACAATAGCTGTTTCCTGCTCTAGAATCCAATGCTTGATGTGTGCGATTGTCATAGAGCCTTGGCGGCCCTGCCATGCATGTAGGGTGGTGACTTACTCTGTAGCTGATTACTAAGTGTCTAAGACTTTCTGTGGGTGGCATCTTGGTTTTAATCACAAACTAAAATTTGACTCATATTTTACAAGCTTAGAAATGTACCTTAGTTTTAGGTCTTTGAGACCTAAAAGGAATTTTGCTCTGTCACCCAGGCTAGTGTGCAGTGACTCGATCTCGGCTGACTGCAACCTCTGCCTCCCGGGTTCAAGCGATTCTCCTGCCTCAGCCTCCTGAGTAGCTGGGACTACAGGTGCACGCCACCATGCCCAGCTAACTTTTTGCGTCTTTAGTAGAGATGGGGTTTCACCGTGTTAGCCAGGATGATCTCGATCTCCTGACCTCATGATCTGCCTGCCTTGGCCTACCAAAGTGCTGGGATTACAGGTGTGAGTCACTGTACCTGGCCGACCACCTGTTATTTATTAGGCACTGTTTCAGGTGCTGAGAAAAGAGCCAGAAGCACACAATAAAGTCACTGCTCTCCTGGCACTTACATTCCAGTGGGGAGGGAGGGGAAGAGGACCATAAACAAGTTATTACATCTGAGGTTGGCGAGTGCTACGCAGAAAAACAATGCAGGCAAAGGGTGTAGGAGCTGTAAGGGTGGGGATATTTTATGCAGGAAGGTCAGGCCAGTCCCTGTTTAAAGGAAACAAAAGGAGCCTTGATGATGCCTGGGGCAAGCTCTCCTGGCAGAGGGACCAGCAAGTCCAAAGGCCCTGGGGTGAGAACCTGCTTGGCATGTCTGACCTCTTCCAGGAAGGCAATGGCCAGTGTGACACAAGCCAAGGGAGTGAGCAGGGAATGGTGGGAGATGAGCTCAAAGGAGGTAATGAGATGATGGGTGTGGAGGGCAGGACAGTGACCCCCGACAAGGACGTACATCTACACCCTAACCCCTGGAGACTGCGAATATGCTATATTACTTGCCAAAGAGGAATTAAGGCTGAAGATGGAATTAAGGTTGCTAATCAGCTGACCTTGAGATGGAGAGATTATCCTGGATTATCCCGACCCCATGTAATCACAAAGGTCCTTCTTTGTTCCTGAAAGAGGAGTTCAGAGTGTCAGAGTCAGAGAAGGAGCTGTGACAACAGAAGCAGAGGTTGGAGTACTGCAATTGCTGCTGGCTTTGGAGCTGGAGGGAAAGGCCACTGTGAACATATACGCTATTGGTATTCATTTTGTATATAGCATATATAAAGATTTGAATGTGGCCCGGCACAGTGACTCATGCCTGTAATCCCAGCACTTTGGGAGGCTGAGGCAGGAAGATCACAAGGCCAAGAATTCAAGACCAGTCCAACCAACATAGTGAAACCCCATCTCTACTAAAAATACAAAAAATTAGCCAGGTGTGGGGATGTGCACCTGTAATCCCAGCTACTTGGGAGGCTGAGGCAGGAGAATTGCGTGAACCCAGTAGGTGGAGGTTGCAGTGAGCTGAGATCACACCATTGCACCCCAGCCTGGGTGACAAAAAAAAAAATTTTAATGGAAAACAAGTTAAACTTCAACATTTCTATCAGAATGAAATATATTTCATTATGTTTGTTTCTATAGAATGTTTCATTCTCCAATAAAGAGGGCTTCACACAGTTCCCTGAAGTGAGTGTGTATGCATGTGTGTGTTTATGGGGGTGGGTAGGGGGTCACCTGACTCACAGAGCCTTGTCTCAGGGAGAATATGTAGGGGTCCCTTTAGCTGGTTTATGCTCCTCCAAAACAAGCTTCCTCAACATCATAAGACAACTCTTTTGCCTCCTCGGGCACGACCTTTTTATGAGCACTCCCAATTTGGGGTCCTCAGGAGCCCTGCTTCAGTGAGTTATCCAACTGCCTTAGGGATCCCCTAAGAAGATCAGGTAATCAGAGCTCAGAGAGCGGAAGTCAGATGGTGGCGGCCTCAGTGTGCAGCTCCTAAACTTCTCTTTGCTGGCTGGTTGCTTTCTGAACATGTCTTTCTCTTGCAGAGTGAAAAGCCATTTAGCAAGGCAAGAAGCGAACAATAAATCATTTTATGTGAGTACAAGCAGGAAGAGGGCAGGGGACTAAAATTTATTGAGTGCCTACCATGTACAAGCGTGGGCCTTTAACACTTCTATACTTACCTTGTTGAATCTTCACAAAGATCCTAGGAGGAGGGGCTGTTATTATTGTACATTATGCGTGGCAGGGAAGTGGAAGAACCATGACCTGAACTCAGCTCAGCCAGACCCCAGAGTGGGTATGTAATTGCTACTCTCTACTGCCTTGCACAAGGCAAACAGTGTCCCAGGGAAACCAGACATGACAGCTCATCCAGGCCAGTGAACAGCTCATGCCCAGATACAGGAAGTCCCCCTGCTGACCTTGGGAAGTCACGAATGCTAGGGGAGAGGCTGCTGGTACCCCTCAGAGGAGCAGCGGCAGGAGGGCGCTGGAGAAGGTGATGGGAGCCAAACTTGGAGGGATACTGACACCTGCCTGGGAGTGTGGGGCTTACCCTTCTGGTGTCTGGGAGCCTTTATTGGTCTGACACGGGCACAGGACCAAATAAGAGTTACATTTTAGAAAAAGCACCCTCTGGTGGGATTTAATTGGTATTTTTTTACTGGTTTCTGTGTTTATCTAGTTTCTTCTTCTTTTTTTTTTTTTTTAAACAAAAATCATGCAGTCTTTTAATGGTTAGGGAAACAAAATAAACAAACAAAAGTATAATTGCCCTCTAGGTGGAGAGGAGGATGAACTATAGAGGGAGCAAGATTGAAGGCGGAGAGGCCAGAGCCCAAGAGAAAGATGGTGGTGGCCTGGGGCCATCAGGCAGGAGAGAGGTGAGTAACACAGAGAGACATGAAGGAGGCAACAACAGAAGGGCCCATGGGGCTGCAGGGTGTACTGCGCAGAAATCAGAGCCCCAGCCTTGCCCTGGTCCAGGCCGGCAGAGGCCCTGCCCAGGTTTCTTGGCATCTAATGGGAGAAGGAGGAGAAACTGACATTTTTGTTTGTTTGTTTGCAATCATCCTAGTCATTTTCTCGTACGTTGTTTTGTTTTTCCCTTACAAAAGCCCTTTGAGAAAGAGTTACTAAGCCCATTTTCTGATAAGGAAACTGAGGTGCAGAGATGCTGGATGGCTCTTGTCTGGTGGCACAGCCAAGATTTACTCAGGCCTCTCTGATTCCAAAACCTGAGCAACTACTCTGGGTGACCACATCCTCTGGGCTCTGGCCACAAGGGCGAATGCAAGGGTTGGGAGCAGCGGTAGTGCCCGGGGCACCAATGGCTCAGTTTGGCACAGAGCTTCAAAGTCCCCTAGGGACATCCAGGAGCCTACTAAGCATCAGGTTTGAGTCTCAGAGATGTGAGGATGAGCTATAATGGGCGAAGAGCCCAGAAGGGCTTGGGCTCTGGAGTCCCAGGTCTGCTTTTAAGAGCTGAGTGAGGCAGTAAGAGATGTGGAGAAATCTCAGCACTCCAAGTGTGCCATTTATCTTACTTTCCCTTGGTGCCTAGGAAGTGATCAACGTGTCACCTGGCTATCAGCTTGTTCAGAATCGGGAACAGATTTCTGTCACCTTAGGGGATGAGATGTCTGATAGGAAAAAGCAGTGGGAATCAAAGATCCTGGACAAAGGTGGATTTAACAGGTAATGCCACTGGATAGACATGCTGCTGCTTGAAGCTACTCCCACCAGGCTCAGCCCGGCCTCAGGAACAAGCCAAAGCTGCCCTGCCCATACCCAGGTCACTGGTCCTGCTCTGGAGGGGCTGCAAGGGCACCTCCCCCTCGCCCCTGCTTCCCAGCACTGTGTCTCTCCACTTCTGCCTCTCTTTGCTCTGATCCCATCCATAAGCAGATCCAAGGGGCAGGATAAAGATTGGGAGTTATGTGATTGATCCCAAAGGACAGAAATTGTTCCTGGGGTGGGAATAGGTAGAATAGCCATAAACTAGTCTGAATTTGGGGCATGCAAATTAGGGAAAGTCAGGGTTTCTGGGAGGCTGGGGTGCACACCTCTCTCTTTTTTTTTTTTTTTTTTTTTTTTGAGATAGAGTCTCTCTCTGTCACCCATGCTGGAGTGTAGTGATGTGATCTCGGCTCACTGCAACCTCTGCCTCCTGGGTTTAACTGATTCTCATGCCTCAGCCTCCCAAGTAGCTAGGATTACCGGTGTGCCCCACCATGCCTGGAAATTTTTATAGTTTTAGTAGAGATGGGGTTTTGCCATGTTAGCCAGGCTGATCTCAAACTCCTGATCTGCCCGCCTCAGCCTCACAAAGTGCTGGGATTACAAGCATGAGCCACCACATTTTTCATTATGTCGAAAAATACCACTCGGCTCATGCCCCTGGGAGATGCAGTGTGGAAGGTGCTGGCCTGACTCCATCCTATTGAGCACAACTATCCTCTCTGTCTTCAGGCCCCACCCACTCCCTGTCCTCCAATGCTGTATCAAGTATATCTCCACGTCTTCCTTTTTTCATTAACAGATGCAGATTCATTTCTACATCTTTTCATTCTACCCTTTAATCTCTTATTTGTATCTTCTGCTTCTTCGATATCCTGCCCATGTTCAGGCGTCTTACTTCTTTATATTTTTTTATTTATTTATTTATTTTTATTTTTATTTTTATTTTTTTTGTTTGTTTGTTTTTTCCTTGGCATCTTACTTCTTTTTTTTTTCCACCCCCATAAAAATATTGTATTTCTCAGAAAATACAATGCATTAAAAATGACTGATTGCTTTTGCTTCGTCTTTTCTTCCGTGAATGTGTAGGTGTTTGAGTCCTCTGTATTTCTTCTTTTACACAGGATATGGGCTGTTTGAAAACTATTTCATTATCTTTATCATCTTCATTCATTTCAGTCACTTCAGATTTTCGTGTCTCCAAAAATGTTGGTGTACAAACTGGTGTGGGCCCTGGCTATCCACAGTCTTCTCAGGAATGTCAAGAGTGCCTACAACCTTTTCCTTCTTCTTATGTAAAACCTGGCCTTTTGTAGACTTCTGACGATTAGTTTTTGAAATACTTTTCCGTTTTCTGTAAAATCAAAGAAGGAAAATCATAATCGATTCCCTTTCTAGCTAGTTTCTTCCTGAGTAACCTTTCTTTTTAAATCGCTCCTCCATCCGTAGTTTTTGTGGTTGTGTCCGATTCTGATTATAGCGTCTCGCTGACGGATATGACGGCTGCTTCAATGGAACATCCAGTCTTTAAAGAGTTCTTTATGGACTTTCTTAGGTGGCATAAGACGACACTCCAAGAGTCTTTCACCAAACAGGTAGTTGTTCATTGTTTCAGCAACTATCTTGGCAACATCCTTACACTCAAACTCCACAAATGCATAGCCTTTGCTGTTTCCAGTCCTTTTACTTCTGGACAGTCAGAACCGTGTCACAGTGCCAAACTGGGAGACATAGGAAAAGATCTGGGTTTCGTCAAGTGGGTTAGGCAGGTGGCGCACATAGATGACTCCAGGAGTAAGCTGTTCTTGTTTTTTTCGCTGTTACGCGCTTGCGAACCTGCGCCGCCTCCTTTTGAAACTCGGCATCTTCTTAAGCAGCAAGACTGGCGCAGCCAGACCAGAAAACGCTGCCATGCCAAAAGCGGCCAACCGGCATCTTACTTCTTAACCGCACTACTGAATGGTTCTCCAAGTGCCTCTTCCTTCAGGCTTATTTTGCTGTGAGAATTATTTTTTCAACACACAAGTCTAAAGGACCAACAATAGCAAACACACACACACACACACACACACACACACACACAATCATCTACCTATCTGCTAGTATATAGGCAGAATACAACCAACCCATTAGCAGTGTTTACATCTGGGAAGGGATTTAGATTGGGGGTGAGTCTAAAGGGCCGTCAAGGCAAATGAGGCCAGGCCATAGAGTCTCCCTGATCTGACCTGGCCCAAAGGTGTGGGACCCAAGTCCTTGTCTTCCCACCCAAGGGGTATTCAGCCTCTGCTTTCTTTTCCCTGTTCATCCACAACCCCCTGCAGTTAGAGAATGGGTCATGCACGTATAGTCAAGCTCACACCCACAGCCACCTCTTGGCCTCACAAGCAAGTTGTCACCAGTTGGGCACAATAAAACTGATAACCTGTGCTTGTTTTACTCCCTGGTAAAGCTATGAGTGTTGTTTATACTGAATATTGTGTTCAAAAGATAGGGGCTCCCTATTATTCAACTTTCTCATGCTCTTTCTCACACCCTGGTACTGTCTCCTCCTGTATTCCCTCTCTTGTTTTCTTATCCCACATTCTCTGTGCTCAGTTAGACATAGAAGATGGTTGGCCAAAGAAGTCAAAACATCTTGCATTAAAGACTTCCTCTCAGCTCTACTGCACATGCCACCACCTGCCACCTTGTCACTCTAGCCAAACCAGATAGAGCTAAATAGTTTACAGATATCATGACAGCCTTAGACCAGAAACACAGAAAACCATTACCTGTTCTGAAAGCCACTCTCTTAAACCCCTTTTTAGTCCCATCTCTGGCCCATTCCTTGTCTATGGTTCACAGTCAGCATCAATCCTGTTGCCGATCTTCTAATTTCCTAATCCTCTGAACTTCATCCTCTGTTTCAACTCTCATTACCAAATCAAAGCCAAACTTGAATAAATTTCTGACACCATTTTCCTTCTACTCAATATGGCACCAAACCATCCAGTTCAAGTCTAGTGAGCTTACCCAAAAGAGTCAGACCTGAGGCTCAACTGCCCAACTGCCAAATGCCTTCTCCAAGACCACCCCTGTCCCTCCACCCCCACCCCATGATGATGGAGCAGGTGCAGGACATGGCCAGCTCTCACCAGGCCAGAGTCAGTCATGCTCAGGGACTGGAGTGGCATGGAATGGTAAGCTTTGTGGATGATAGAAGTATTACTTGTCCTACAGGCCCAACATCATTTCTGACCTAGAAGAGCAAATCTCAGAGCTGACAGCGATAATTGAACAAATGAACAGAGACCACCAGTCTGCCCAGAAATTGGTGAGTGACCTTTACATTAGCCACCATCTTCATGGGTAAGATAAAATTAATATTTTCAGAAAACCCATGTGCCAGGCAAAATGCCAAGCACTTTACTCATATGAGCCATGTTGTCCAGTTGACAGGACCCTGAAGATAGGGCTGTGTCACCCAGTGGTATTTTCTGACTCCATCTTTATCTGTAATTCCAAGAACTCAAGTTCTTCCACAAGGCTGACCTCATTTATTTCCAGGACCTCTCCAAGTCCCTCTGGTGTGTGCAGTGACGCTGTCCTCCTCACACTAGGGTGCACTGGTTGTTTTCTGTCTGGCCTTTGTGGTGCAGTTAAGAGGTTGTGAGGCTTTCACTGACGACACCAGCACACTCGATGTCCAGGGCTTATTCTCTGTGACTGTTAAAACTGCCCACACATCAGAATCTGCAGATGTAATTGGACACTGTGATTCCTGAGGATTTCAGTGACACCTTTTTAGCTTTTACTATCTGTTTCATCTGGTGACTTCTTCCTCACCTCAAACAGGTGGGCCTGGTGGCCTGGCCTGGAGTGACAGCCAGTGCTGTGTTCAGAAACATCCTCCTTAGGGTTTTGAACCCCTACTGTGTGGTTTTACTTCCCAGCAGGCAGCCTCTCACCCTCTGATATGTCCGAGACATGTCTGAATCCTACAGTAACCCAGCTTGACTCAGGCTGGGCCCCAGCCTGAGACCACCCTCCTCCACCCACCAACTATTGATTCATTGTCTTATTTATCTGAAAACGCTGCCAAGTTTATGGTCTCCTTCTATAGGAAGGAAACTAGGGCTTGGGGAAGTTAAATAATTTACATGAGATCATTCAACTGAACAGTGGTGAATCATTGGACAAACTGTACATTTTAAGTCACAACCACAGATCCTGCTAAAGGCGTATTTAGAGACTATTTCCATGAAGGGACCTCTAGATTGTATTACTGAAAATACTGCCACTTGTGAACACCCTATTTATTGTGTGGCCCTGTGGAAGGGAGGCATGTTGGCTGAGCCTGTGCTGGTCTCTGTCTGTCAGAGCGGCTCTGCTGACCACTGTGCAACACAGTCCCTGCCTCCTCCCCAGTAGTCAGAGAGGTACAAGGACAAACCCGAAACCCCTGTCTTAGCTGCCAGTGGTCACTGACTGGTTTGAAGTATTTATTTATCCTGAGACACTGGCCAGAGGATCTGGCATGTTAGAATGAAGTGCCACGTGAAAGTGAGCAAATCCTGCCTGCTAGACTAGAACTATAATGTTAACAAGGATTAACACTAGATTTTAAGTTCCTTGAAGGCAGTATCTGAGTCTTAGTCCTCTTTGGCTCTCCCAAGCCAAGCCCTTATTTCAATAAATGATGGTTCAATTGGATTACATATCTAAAAATCTGAAGGCCATGATGTAACAAAGAGATGATGGCCTAGCAGAGACCAGACCTACCCACAAAAACCAGTCAGTAACAGAGATGCACCAACATTACAAATTGAATAAGTACAAAACAACATAGAGCAAGGACAGATTGCTCTGTTCCCTGATTAATAATGTGCTCTCTGGCACTGCAGAGTACAGTGGAAGAGGGGTGGGAAGGGGCTGTGCCACTTGAATTGGAAGGCTTTTCAGAAAGTGCGGATCAGAACGGGACTGGGTCCTCATTAATTGCGTCATTAATGCTGATTTTGTTTCCAGCTCTCCAATGAAATGGATCTCCGCTGTGCTAAGATGAAACAGAACTTTGAAAACAAGAACAGGTACACTTTCTGGCATGAACCCTTGTGCACTGATGGCCCTAAGGCTTCTGTATCCTTTGCAGGATTTTAGTTCACTGGGACTTCAGACAGTTCCAAACAGAGTTGGAGGATGAAGGATGGGGAAGATGAACAAGACACATATCTTTGAAGAACAGGATGGCTTGATTCAAAGCCACTAAAACAAACCACAAAGAAAGTTATTACTGCTTTTGCATTTTATCATCCAATCCTTTCATTTCTATTATAATCTCCCTTTTTGTTGGTTACCCAGAAGAGTCATTTTTGTTCTCTACGAGATTTCTGTGATAATTTTCTTAGCCCAGGTTCCTCCCCCTCCCCCTCCCCTCCCCCTCCCCCCCCCCCTCTCCCCCTCCCCCTCCCCACCTCCCCCTCCCCGTCCCCCTCCCCCTCCTTCTCCTCTTTCTCCTCCTCCTTCCTCTTCCTCCTCCTCCTCTTTTTCTTTGTCTCGCCACTACTCTCCCTGGCTGCTAGGTCAGGGCCTCAGCAAAATGGGAAGAAAGTATGAGACAGTCAGGAGCAAAGTCAAATCAATGGAAAATTAAAAGGAGAAATCCAAATATACAGAGATAGAGAATAGAATGTAGTAATCATGGTTGGGTCAGAGGAAGAAAATGGGGAGATATTGGTTAAATGATACAATGTTGCAAATATGTAGAGTGAACGAGTCCAATGATATAATGTAAAAATGAGAGGTGTATTTAATTATAATGTATTATATTAAGAATTGTTGCTAAATGAGTGTATAGCTGTTCACACCACAGGGGGAAAATGGCTAAGTGAAATGATGGATATGTTCATTTGTTTCACTATAGTAACCTTTTTACTATATGTATATAGTAATCTCCACTATTGTAACCATATATATATATATATATATGTATTCTACATATATATATATATATATGTATTCTACATATATATACACATGTGTATGTGTGTTTACTATGCATATATATATAGTAAAAATTATGTGTAGTATACATAGTAAAATGGTTACTATAGTGGAGATTATATATGTGATTCATATATATATGAATCTTATAACATTATGTTGTATACCTTAAATATACATGATAAAATTTATTATTTTTTTAATTGTACTTTAGGTTCTGGGGTACATGTGCAGATCATGCAGGGTTGTTGCATAGGTAAATACGTGGCAAGATAGTTTGCTTCCTCCATTCCCCCATCATCTATATTTGGCATTTCTCCCCACATTATCCCTCCCCACCCTCCCCACCCCCCACTGTCCCTCCCCTAGCCCCCGCAACTGACCCCAGTGTGTGATGCTCCCCTCCCTGTGTCTACGTGTTCTCATTGTTCAACACCCACCTATGAGTGAGAACGTGTGGTGTTTGATTTTCTGTTCTTGTGTCAGTTTGCTGAGAATGATGGTTTCCAGATTCATCCAAGTCCCTACAAAGGACATGAGCACATCCTTTTTTATGGCTGCATAATATTCCATGATGTATATGTGCCACATTTTCTTTGTCCAGTTGATCATTGATGAGCATTTGGGTTGTTTCCAGGTCTTTGCTTTTGTAAACCATGCCTCAATGGACATACGTGTGCATATGTCTTTTTCTTAAGGAGTTTTGTTATGCATATAGGTGAAGATAATCTTAACATCCCCTTTCAGGCTACTTGCTACACATCAGAGCAGCCTCAGAAATCCTGGTGGAGAGATAGCACTCTTAGTTGAGTCATAGCCTTTTATGCATTTATTTGTCTATAGACTTTATCTGTTAGGGCAGTTTTAGGTTTATAGCAAAAATGAGGGGAAAGTACAGAGAGTTCCTGTGCACCAGCTGCTAAACAAATTCAATCAAATTAAACTCAAAGATGAGTACACCAAGAAACATAATAAACTATCAAAAATCAAAGACAAAGCAAAAATTCCGAGAACATAAGGAGGTAAGAAACACATCACATATAAAGGAATTCTAATACAATTGTAATTTCTCAACAGAAACCCTGTAGGCCAGGAGATAGTGTGGTGATGTATTAAAAGTGCAGAAGGAAAAAACTGCCTATCAAGAATATCTGTCTTCCCCAGTTAAGGGAGAAATATAAACTTTCCCAAACAAAAATTAAGGGAGTTAGACAAATCTGTAGCTATCATCCTACTGAATAGGGAAAAGTTGTAAACTTTTCCGTTAAGAACTGAAACAAGGCAACGATCCCCACTTTTACCACTCCTATTCACCATAGTACTGGAAGTCCTAGCCAGAGCAATCCTGCAATAGAAAGAAATAAAAGGCATCCAAATTGGAAAAGAGGAAGCCAAATGATCCCTTTTTGCAGAAAAACATGATCTTATATATGAAAATCGCAAAAAATTCCATCAAAAAACTCTTAGCACTAATAAGCAAATTCAGTAAAGTTGCATAATACATAATCAACATACAGTGTCAGTTGCATCTCTATACACCAACAATGAAATATACAGAAGAGAATTCAAGAAGACAATAACATTTACAGTGGCTACAAGGCATAAAATATCTAGTAATAAATTAAATAACCAAAAAGATGAAAGACATTTAGAAGGAAAACTTCAAAACACAAATGTAAGAAATTGAAGAGGACACAAACAATGGAAATACATTAATACATTCCATCCATGCTCATGGACTGGAAGAATTAATATCACTAAAATAGCCATGCTGCCCAATGCAGTACAGACTCAATGCAATTCCTAAATTACTAATGTCACTTTTCACAGAAATAGAAAAAACAATTCTATAGTTCATATGGAACAAAAAATGAGTCAGAATAGCCGTAGCAATCCTGTGGGGGGAAAAAAATCTGGAGTCATGACATTACCTCACTTCAAAATATATTACAAGACCAGGCATGGTGACTCACACCTGTAATCCCAGAATTTTGGGAGGCCAAGGCAGGAGGATGGCTTGCAACCAGGAGTTTGAGACTAACCTCCACAACATATCGAGACACTGTCTACACAAAAGATTAAAAATTATCCAGGTATTTTGGAGTGTGCTTGGAGTATTACTTGGGAGGCTGAGGTGGGAGGATCACTTGTGCCCAGAAGGTCAAGGCTGCAGTGAGCTATGATCATGCCACCACACTCCAACTGCACTCCTTGATATAGAGCAAGGCTATCATAACCAAAACAACATAGTATTTGTATAAAAATAGACACATAAACATAAACCATGGAACAGAATAGAGAATCCAGAAATAAATTCATATAGTTATAGCCAACTGGTCTTTGATAATGTTGTCAAGAACATACACTGGGGACAGGGCACCCTCTTCGATAAATGATGCTGAGAAAACTGAATAACCATATGCAAAAGAGTAAAACTAGACCCCATCTCTCACCATATACAAAAATGAACTTAAGATGGATTAGAGCCTTAAATGTAAAACCCAAAGCTATAAAGCTACTAGAAGAAAATATGGGGAAAACTCTTTAGGACATTTGTCTAGGCAAAAATTTTATGACTAAGACTTTAAAAGTAAAAAATAAAATAAAAACAAACCAAAAGGCAACAAAAACAAACAAACAAAAAAGACAAATGGGACTATATTAAACTAAAAAGCTTCTACACAGCAAAAGAAACCATCAACAAAGTGAAGAGACATTCCAATATTTACAAACTACTTATTTGACAGAGGCCTCAAACAACTTAACAGTAAAACAAACACAAATTCATTAAAAATGGGCAAAGAACATCAGTAGACATTTCTCAAAGGAAGACATGCAAATAGCCAATAAGTATGTGTTCAACATCACTAATCATCAGGGAAATGTAGAGCAAAAACAGAATAAGATATCATCTTATACCAATTAGAATGGCTATTATGAAAAGTCAAAAAATAACATGTTGATGAAGATGTGGAGAAAAGGGAACTAATATATACTGTTGGTGGAAATGTAAATTAGTACAGTCACTATGGAAAATACTATAGAGATTTCTCAAAAAACAAAAAAAAAACTAAAAATATGAACCAGCAATTGAACTACTGGATATTTCTTCAAAGATTGTGGAGAACAGGAAATGCTTGTACAGTATTGGTGGGAATGTTAGTTAGTTCAGCCACTGTGGAAATCAGTTTGGAGATTTCTCAAAGAACTTAAGACAGAACTACCATTTGACCCAGCAATTCCATTACTGGGTATATACTCAAAGGAATATAAATCATTCTACCAAAAAGACACATGCATGTGTATGTTCATCACAGCACTATTCACTGTAACAAAGATATGGAATCAACCTAGATGACCATCAAAGGTGGATTGGATAAAGAAAATGTGGTACATATAGACCATGAAATTCTACACAGCAATAAAAAGAACAAAATCATGTCCTTTGCAGCAACATGGATGCAGCTGGAGGCCATTATCCTAAGTGAATTAACACAGGAACGGAAAACTAAATACTGCATATTTTCACTTGTAAATGGGAACTAAACCCTGAGTACACACAGATACAAAGAAGAGAGCAATAGACACTCGGGCCTACTTGAAGGTGAAGATCGAGAAGAGAATGAAGGTTCAAAAACTACCTATCAAGTACTATGCTCACTCCCTGGGCAATGAAATCATTTGTACACCAAGCTCCAGCAACATACAATTTACTTATGCAACAAACATGTACATGTACCCCTGAACCTAAAATAAAAATGGAGAAAGAAAAAAATTAGTAGCATTTCTATACACTAATAGTTAACTATCTAAAAAGAAAACAATTCTATTTAGGCTAGCTTAAAAAATAAGATTTAACCAAGAAAGTGAAAGATTTCTACACTGAAAAATTTTAAAACATTTATAAAATAAATGGAAGAAGAAACAAATAAATGGAAAGATATCCCATGTTCATGGATTAGAAGAATTAATATATTTTAAGTGGCCATACTACCCAAAGCATTATACAGATTTAATACAACCCCTATCAAAATACCAAAAATGTTCTTCACAAAAATAGAAGAAATAATCTTAAAATTCATATGGA